TAAAAAAACCAACATGTTCTCTGATGTTTGGTCTTTAACGTTTATAGAAAGTCTTTTTTTGCTAGACCCAATACTTTTCGAGGTAGAGCGAGTTAAATGATTTTAAAAATATGGGTGTCCAGGGCAAGCGGTTTTGTGTGAAGGCTCTCCATATACAACAATGCTGCGACGTATTTTTATAAATTAAAAAAAAATATTTCTGATATCCGGATGGGTATGCAAATTCGAGGAATGAATTATCTCACATCTTAGATCTGAAAACCGATGAAAAAAAAAATTGGCTTTTTTTTAAAAAAAGGCTCCCCCCACTCCCCTCCAACTACGATTTTTGGACGACCAAGTGATTTTGCATTGCAAAGGTCTTAGGAATGATAAAAAATGGGTTTTACATTTTAGCAACAAAGTGCCCACGAAAATCTATTCTAGAAGCCTTTTGCCAGTCTATTTACTCTACTATACCTACTTCATAATTGAATAAAAGAACAATGAATATCACTTGTTTTTATGTTCAGGTTATCTAGTATTACCCTCATGATCATATTCAGAATATAAGCAGAAGCAATCCATATTGCAATTCAATTCATATAAAATAATTATTATTCATAATACTGATTCGATTATCTATATTATCAACTTTATTATCTTATCGTCTCCCGTGTCCCGGGACTTCACTCGTTTTCATTATCCAATAATTTGTAGAGAAGTATGTGATGTGACTCGGTTGAGATGAGATCGAATCGAAAAAAGGTCAGTAATTTATTAAACATTATTGTAGCTAATTCGAGGTGAATGAAAAATTGCCATTCCGGTTTTGAAATTATCGTTCTTATAATCATAACGGGATTGTGAAAACAACAATATTGTTATCGCTTCGAAACTTAGACAGTTGGACAGGAAATTCGAAGATAAACCATAATCGATGAGTCATTAAAACTTCATAGGAATTTCTGTGATGATATCGATTTTGTATAAACATGGTATAAACAGTAATAAAGCAGTAACAAATAAGCTACAAAATTTATGCTAATGATTCGAAAGAAGTTGAAAAGTAGGTACCCAGAAGAAAACTAATGTCGTTGGTTTTTAATCTTTGACGAAAAATAAACAGAATGTCTATCAGATTTTGGTTTGGCATTACAGGGTTGATTGCTTGGCCGTCACAGCCCCACCCTGATTGTTTTTTCCATCAAACAAATTTTATTGTTGGTAGTCATTGAAATCTTTTAGAAGCAATTGGTTAGTGGACTGATTTTATCATTCAAGATCTTCACTCTGATGCTTTCAATTCTATTATTTTTCAAACATTTTCTGTATTGCTTCAAGGTCTCGAAATCAAAAATGAACTCATAATCTTATTCAAACGGTCGAAATTACTACTAACGTCACGACTTAGTAAGTAAAACACATAGTTGCCAGATTTCAAAGTATAGTGTTTCCCATTCTGGTTGAAACTGACAGGTTTCTCTTTCTGTTATTGAAGATAGATTGATGAAACCAATGAACTCAATATAAACACCTAGAAAGGATCCTCTGTGAACGAAGAGTGAGGCAAAAATATTGTTCAGGCAACTCGCTTGGAGCGCACGAAGAGAAATCCCTATTATGTTCAAAGAACATCGTGCGTTCCTAGGGAGGATAGGGACAGGAGGCAGGTGTTGGATTTTTTTTTTGAACTTCTGGAGATTGTATGTTGTTGGGAATACTTCCTCAGGCAATGGAATTCCAGAGCCTAACCGTTCTATGGATGAAGGAGTTTTGATAAAGTGCTGTTCGACATCTTTCGAGGTTGACAACGAAAGGATGTGCTGTCTGGGCTTGTCTAGTTCGTCTGACTGGTATTGCTAGTGAAGGGATGATAGCAGAGATTCCCGAAGAACAATTCCCGTGGAAGTATCGATAGAAAAGTGAAAGGTTGCCGACTTTTCTACGGTGTTCCAATGATGTCAAAGAGTTAGTGAGTGTGGCGTCACCCACCAGACGAATGGATGGAATCTAAGAGCATCAGCGTATGTTTTGGTGCTGAACCCCATATGTGGGAACAGTATTCTAGAACATACCGTATCTGCGCTTTGTAGATCATGAGAAGCTGTTGAGGTGTAAAGTAGCTTTTCGCACGGAACAAGAATCCGAGTTTTTGTGAAGTAGCTTTTGCAATGGATCTGACATGATTATCCCATGAAAGAGTGTTGCTGATGGAAATACAGAGCATAGATATGGTGGGCTTGGTGGGGATGGTGGTGCCAGACATTTCAATATCGGGCATACATACGCATACCTATCTCTTTCTATCTTATGTTGGCTAATGCGAAGCGCTCGCATTATTTGAAATATTTTCTTGTTTTTTGATTTCATTCAAGAGTATACGTGATTTAATATAAATATTCATTTAGGAAAAAGGATAATGTTGCAATCGATTATTATTTGATAATAAATATCGATTTCTTTATTGACTCAAAAGTGAAATTCCAATTTTATTCTTACAGGATTAGGAAGACAACTGAATACAAAATTGAATTTATATATTCTCATTCGAATGTCAGCACATATTGTACAGGGTGAGCGGAGCTCAATATCTCAGCACTATCAGTAGAAATAGAAAAACGATAGAAAAAATTTGAAAAGAGGATCTTGAATGGCATCGAGTACCTAAGGTCTATTTCAAGCCTAATTTTCAAGAGTACCTATTTTTCCATAAATGTTTCACTATTAAAAGATGAATGAAAGGTGAATAAAAAGTGAATGAAATTACAATGTCAATGTCAGGACGACTTTTTCCATTAAAGATGAATATCTGCTCGCCCAGAATGTACACCTTCATTTTTTCCTTTCTGGAGAAGGAGAAGGTCCAAAGGCATATCTGAAAAGACAATATTATGATGTAGCTCTTGAGTTTAAAAATTTGAACTTTCTTTGCAATAGAATGCAATGGAATGGAACAGTTTGTGGGTTTCATTATCAATAAACTTTGAAACATACATGAGAGCTGGAAGTTATAAGCAAATCAATGTCCATATGAGAAACATTGTCCTTAGAATCCAAGTTATGAACATCCACAGACACATTCTAAAAATAAATTACTAAGTATAGTTTTTCTAAGAATCTGAACATTTCAACTCACCCATGGAGGACAATTTCTGTTTGTCTTGATTTTTTTGCATCCAAAGGCAACACAATTTGTTTTAAAAAATCACATTTTGCAAAACCATTTCCGTTTATATGGTACATGGAAATTTCGAAAATTGATTATTTTTGAACCCCTTTCATATTCACGAAGTAATCAGGAATATTGTTGCCCTAAGTACTACGTCTAACAGAGAAATTCTCCCAAAATCAAGAGGCGTATTACTTTATTTTTCGGGGTTTGGTTTTGTACTCGGTTTTAGAGACACAAACTTATATTTTCAGAGAAAACACCCTGTATCCCATTATTTAGTTGAATTCGAGATTGTTTTCCGAGCAAATGATTTATGATACTATACAGTGTGACCAATATGAGGTTTGCACAGCGGGAGTCTCGGAAATGGAAGGTGATATGAATGCTGTTGAATGTGTCATAAGAACGGCCTTCGAAAATTTTCAAAATTGTTCATAGTATTTCAGTTATATCGAAAAAAGTGAATTTATCGCATTACTGGTAGAATTTGCTGATTTTTTGGCAACGTCGCCTTGGTGGAATTCGCTGAATATTACCATTTCCTAAAAATCCGTAGATTTTCTGAATCTAACCATCTTCTGAAACTCCGGAGATCTACGAAAAAATCTCAAGTTCTGGCATCAACACCCTGATACAATTCTCTTAATATTATCTTTTTCCAAAAATCGATGGGTTCACAGGAAAACGTCAAGATTTGGCAACACCGCCGCGGTGGAATTCGCTGAATATTACAATTATTCAAAAATCCGTAAATCTCGACAGAATCTCGAGAATTGGCAACACCCTGGTGGAATTCGCTGAATGTCACCATTTCTCAAAAATCCGTAGATTTACGAAAACACTAGAGTTGGCAACACCGTCCTATTTGAGTCGAATGCTGAAGATTGGTTTTCAGCAAACCTTTTGTTCTTAAACGAGAATAAAACACTTAATACCTTATTCACCCTACGGGACCTACCTGACTGAGCATCCACCTACTATAGGGTTTTTGGTAGTTCTTTTGGAATCTTAGAAAGATATAAAAATAACTTGAAATCTAAATTAGGTGCCTAGCTGTACGATTTTTTAATGCTTCACCTGAAAATGTTAAACAGTTTAAGGGTATAAAATTCATAACATATCTGAAGAAGTTTTTACTGCAGGAAGCATTTTACTCATTCGAAGAGTTTTTAAACTGTAATTTTTTGTCCTTAAAATGTTATCAATGTATTGCAAGAATGTAGTGTAAATGTAAAATGTGTGGTTTGTTTTAAACAAATACTTTTTTTTAATGGAGAATTCACTTTCCTCCTAGGTATGATTTATTGTATGACTTGTGTAAATACATTTGTATAATAACACCAATAAACGATTGATTGATTGATCCCCCATGTCCCAAAAATTCGTAGATCTACTGAAAAATCTCAAGATTTGGCAACACCACCTTGGTGAAATTCGCTGAATACTATTACTTTTCAAAAATCCGTAAATCTACGACAGAATCTCAAGAATTGTCAACAACTCCCTGGCGGAATTCGCTGAATATCATCATTTCTCAAAAATTCGTAGATTTACGAAAAAATCTTTAGATTTGGCAACACCGTGGAAAACGCTGAATAAAACTATTTCTGAAAAATTCGTAGACATACGGTGCAGTGAAATTCGCTGAATTTTATAATTTTCCAAAAATCCGTAGATCTAAGGAAAAACTAGAGACCCAATAAAATGCGCTTATTTTCACAATATTTTCAAAATTTTTTGGAATTCTCGCTGCATATGCCATGCCGTTTTCAAAAAATCCGTAGTAGATCTACGGAAAAATATCAAGACTCGGCAACACCACCATTTGTTTCTTTTCTGTTTCCAGTACGGTAATCAAAGAGTGCCAACGGCAACGTCGCCGTCGAACGCCAGCAGCTCGAGCAGCCACACGGGCGGCAGCCAGAGCGGCCGCAACGTTTCGACCTCGCTGTCCAACAGCATGGCCAACAACAACACGAACTCGTCGTCGAACAATTCGTCCTCGGGCTCGGAGCAGCTGTCGAAGACGAATCTGTACATCAGAGGATTGAATCCGGGGACGACCGATAAGGATCTAGTTAACATGTGCCAGCAGTGAGTATAATCATTCATTCATATAATTACTACTTTCCAACTTTTTTTCTTTGTTCTTAGCATAGAAAAGTTGTATATTTTTTAGTAAGAGCAAGTAAAACAATTTTCCTAAGAAAAAAATGTATGCATCTGACAACACTGCGATTGTTTTTTCATTTCACAGAGGAAACGAGTAAAATGAAAACCCTATATATTTTTCGAGAAAAGTGAAGATCTTTTTTTCCTGATTTCAAAAATATAACAGTGTGTCCCACTTACCATGCTCACCATGGGTATCTTTTTAACGGTGAGAGATACGAGGTCGGTTAAATGACACCAAATGTGGAGTTTGTCAAGGCCAACTATAATGTGAAAATATATTTTGATAAAATCTATTCGTTTTTGTTTTATACGCATAGAACAGATTTTGATCATTTTCATGTCTCCTCCGTAACTTCTTTATTTATGAAAATATTCAAATAGGAATTTCACATTCTCATGGCAGTTTTTCAAAGTGATTTCGAAAAAAATATGAAATGTATACCAACTCTTCTAGAATTTGAGATATCAGCACCAACTTAAGTTTTTCATATGTAGGTCATAGCTCACTATGACTTAGTTTCAAATAACTTTTTTTTCTCTTACAGATGATATGTCGCAATAACTTTTTTTTCTCTTACAGATGATATGTCGCAGTAATAGTTTTGTGTTGATAACAACGGAGTTATCGTCATTTATACAAAAACAAAGAATTATTTGGAAGCCGCCATCTTGGATTTATAAATTTTAACAAAAAAATCATGATCTCCGACCTCAAAAACCCCCACTTACCAATTTTGAATGGAATCGGGCCAAATCTTGCTCGCCATCTTGGAGCAGCCATTTTTTTAAAATTTCAACAAAAATTCCATTACTCCGATTAACTTGAAATTTGGCAGGTGTTCATAATTTCGGTGACAATACATTATGGAATTTTTGTTGAAATTAAGATGGCGGACAAGATTTGGTCCGATTCCATTCAAAATTGGTAAGTGGGGGTTTTTGAGGTCGGAGATAATGTTCTTTTGTTAAAATTCATAAATTCAAGATGGCGGCTTCCAAATAATTCTTTGTTTTTGTATAAATGACGATAACTCCGTTGTTATCAACACAAAACTATTACTGCGACATATCATCTGTGAGAGAAAAAAAAGTTAATTGTAACTAAGTCATAGTGAGCTATGACCTACATTTGAAAAACTAAATTTGGTGCTGATATCTCAAATTCTAGAAAAGTTGGTATAAATTTCATATTTTTTTCGAAATCACTTTGAAAAACTGCCATGAGAATGTGAAATTCCTATTTCAATATTTTCATAAATAAAGAAATTACGGAGGAGACATGAAAATGATCAAAATCTGTTTTTTTTTCGTATAAAACAAAAACGAATAGATTTCATCAAAATATGTTTTCACATTATAGTTGGCCTTGACAAACTCCACATTTGGTGTCATTTAACCGACTTCGTATCTCTCACCGTTAAAAAGATACCCATGGTGAGCATGGTGAGTGGGACACACTGTATAGGTTGATATTCGGTTCAGCACCGTTTATGGAATATTCGTGGTCGAACATTTAAGCATTAGTTATAGTTTTATTTTTCCATATCATAATTGCCATTAAGGATCATCAACATGGATATGTTCCTTTAATCAATTGAGGTTACCAATGCTTTCAGGGCTGATAGCAACAATTTTGACAGTAGTTACCTTCTGGTGACTACAGTTGTGGTTTATTAAGGGAATGCCAATAATGCCAGTCATTTGTCAAATTTTATTTTGGATCGTCATTTGAACAATCATGCTCTGCCAGTATTTGATTTTCAATTATGGTACTCAAAAGTCCCTAACTCTCGTGCAAAGTGAGCACAAGCAAAAGGGTGTGTGGCTGATATTAACAAAGTGTCATCATACTGAAAATATATCGAATATTATTAATTTACCTTAGGTAACGAATTTATCGGAACTCTTTATTTTTTCAGATTCGGTACGATCATTTCTACCAAAGCCATTTTAGATAAAAACACAAACAAGTGTAAAGGTAAGATCCGTTATTCTGTAAGTAACATCCAAGTTTTAGTTTTTTTTCTTCATTTTCTACTTGAAGAACGTTATTCAAAAGTATCAAAACTCTAAAAAAGCAATGACAGATTCGTGACCAATGAAGAGATATTACATACGAATAAACTGGGCGTCAATTGAAACGTTAATAGTGAAATTTGGCATCAAGTTTGACTTCTCGTAATTTCTAAAATATTGAACGAATTTTGAATTGCCGCACAGATTCTGAATGCTTTTTTCATCGTCTTTCGAACCGTTCCTTACAACTTCTTCTGAATTGATCAGGACCCGTGATACAGGGTGAAACAAAGTGTCGTGCATTTTGAAAAGAATTTCTCCGCCCCCCCCCCCCCATTTTGTCGGAAGACCACGATGCTCATATTTTATTCAGGCATTTCATAAATAGCAACCATACCTCGGAACGTTTTCGAGTTTTTGCCAAAAACTACTGTGGTTTCCGAAAAAAAAATATTTTTTGCATTTTTTTTAAATGGCCTGATTACCTGTATCTTCAAAACGATGAATCAGTCTATTTATTGTCATGACTGACTTATTGAAAATGGTACTTAAATGAGTTTGGGTATATCCTAATCGTCGTAACCTGAAATAATAATTATCTGTACTGAATTATAGTTCATATCACTATAATGATCTTACCAAATGATATTTTCCATTTCCACCCGATTTGAACGAGGCATCTTTAAATTTTTTAGAACCCGAATAACACTGACGTTTTCATGAAAATTGGCAATTGATATAACCTCTATGCATACCTACATTGTTTCAACAATACGTTGTTATAGAAACAAGGTATCGTTGTTTGTTTTTGTTGATGAGATGTGTTGATTTACTGCTCACTAAGGTAGACAACTTTTATCATAGACTGCGAAGTAATAAATTATTGATTGTTTTTGAGTAACCTGGTATACATATCTGCTCCAACGCTTTCCTGAAATGCATAAAAGCATCCATTTATGGACTCCTCTAAAATTAGTCCATTTGAAAAAATACAAAAATTATTTTTTTTTTTTCGGAAACCACAGTTGTTTTTGGCAAAAACTCGAAAACGTCCCGAGGTATGGTTGCTATTTATGAAATGCCCGAATAAAATATGAGCATCGTGGTCTTCTGACAAAATGGGGGGGCGGAGAATTTTTTTTTCAAAATGCACGAAACTTTGTTTTACCCTGTATCACGGGTCGTGATCAATTTAGAAGAAGCTGTAAGGAACGGTTCGAAAGACGATGAAAAAGAAGAGAAGTCAAACTTGATGCCAAATTTCACTATTAACGTTTCAATTGACGCCCAGTTTATATTCAATGTTGAATTCCACCACCACCAATATTCATGTTTTGTGTACCCAACTCCATTATTCTCCAGTATTCTCCATTAGATGGCGTTGACTACAATCAATCGTTTTTCTGTAACACTGTCACGATTTTGTGAATGAAGTCAGTTCATTTTTTTTAATGTATGATAAATTGATATTCATCATCCAGGATGTGGGGAGAAATTCTGAAGAAAATCTAATCACGAATCTGCGATTGAAGGTCTATAAAAATCACAAGTTCCCATCGTTCAAGTTTGAACCCCTTGATTGGGTGAAAGTATTGAAAAGGAATATTCTCAGATATAATTATGAACATAAAAAATGGATATACACCGTCTCCCAGCTAAAATGTCCCCCCCTGTAAAAAATCAACCGCGCGATCGAATGACTTGAAATTTGGTCACCCAGTATATTTGATGATGCTCACTCGAAATATGCTATTGAATAAATCGTAGGTATACAGGGTCACACCGAAGTGCACCTAACTTTCTTATTTGAATAGGGTCAGGTTAGGAATCATTTTTACACTTCTTGGAATATGCAAGTACCAGAACATTCTCTTCGATTTCACTTTCATCTACATTTCGCATATATTTTTAATGAAGAATTCTGATACAAACGAATATTGTTTGAATAATTTTGATACAAAATTTGAAAATAACAGTTGACAGATAATACAATTGACAGGTAAGACATGTTTCAAACTACTGAAGCTGTGTTTAATGAACTGTGTTGCCATGGTAATGTGTTTAAGAAATCGTGTTGCCATGGTAACGTGTTTAATATTTTGAATAAATCACAGATCGACAATCCGTGATTAATCGATCATTTAGCGTGGTACATATCCGTACGATGAATGCCATTTTAGTTATGTGAGTAGAAAATAGTATATTATGTAACAAGTGTTACAAACGTCCTTTTAGTAACGAGTATTTTAAGCACAAGCGGAGCAGAGCGGAATAAATCACAGATCGACAATTCGTGATTAATCGATCATTTAGCGTGGTACATATCCGTACGCTAAATGCCATTTTAGTTATGTGAGTAGAAAAATACATTTAAACGTTGACGTGTCCTGCGAATTTTTAGAAAAATCATTCACTCCCCCAGTAGCGAATTTATTATAGTTGAAGGCTTCACCCTGTATACCTTTACGTTCATAATTATATCTGAGAATATTACTTTTTAATCAGTTCATTTTCTGTTGCTTAAGAAGAAGCGTGTTTTTCGTTCAACCTGACGCCATTTTTCACAAATCCGCCCTAACGAGCTCGCAGAAAAGAGTTTTTTTAATGATTTTTCTGCCTTAATTTTTTTGCAGGTTACGGTTTTGTAGATTTCGATAGCCCAGCGTCAGCCGAGGGCGCAGTGAAGGCGCTAACAGCAAAAAACATTCAGGCTCAAATGGCGAAAGTGGGTATTTGGTATCACCAACGTAGACAAGCCACTGTACGTTTGCATGCAAGTAATACCTAGCTTTTACCTTTTCCGGGCTCGGCCACAGATCGAATATGTTCGTTGCATCCTTGATTAGTTACCTTAAGAAGATGATCCACCTATATGTAAAAAATGTCAAAGGCAACTTTGGCCTTAGTTCTTGACTGGTTCGTAGGCGGCGTAAGGGAAACTCAGCAAAATATGACTGATTTGTCTATGTACAGTGTGTCTAGTTTTCGATGCTTTTGCGTGATATCTCAGTTATCTTTGGAGATTGAACTTTGCGGTTTTCGCGGTCCTGTGCCATTTTTTCGTGATACTCAAGATGGCCTCATCAGATTCAGTGGCGGCTCGTGACTTTCATGACAGAGGAGGCTGAATGATATGAGATTCATTGTGAAAAACAACTCTCTACGACTCACCCAAATCAATAGCTTTAATGACATTCTGTTTACCAGTTAACCTGAACTTAATACTTGAAGAGATGTGTTCCTGTGATTTGCAGTGTCTATCCGAAGCGCGAGGCAAATTTTTCAAATCATTATATCCTAATCACCCCCAACATGATGACTTATTGGTTGAAAATAATACGCAGTACCAACAAAATAGCTTATTCCTTACCTCAGATCCCGTCAACCAGATATATTTTTTATAATTATCAAAATTGAACGAACGATTTTGTTTGTTACCTGTTACAATCAGACTTTTTAATGCCGGTGTCGGACGTTTGTTTTTCACAATCAATTTATCTTCATAAGACAAAGCACTGAATGGGTTCACCAAAAAGTATTCCACTAAATCGCAATCGTTTAAAACTCTAATTTTTCAGAAATTTATAGAGCCCCTAACCATTAACCTAACATAAACATAAACAATGCACTCGCGCTGGATTGTCCGCAATTCGCGACGCGACACGACAAACACGTGCTATTCGGACATTTGCATTGCGCGCGTGGGTTTCGATTTGTGAAGGAGTCTAGCCTCCTATAGATGTTGCCAAGTTGAATATTTTACACGTGATTTGCAGACTTCAACGTGTGATGCGTGGGCAAGCACTGTTGCCAATTCAAAAATATTTACCTAAAAACAGGAAATAAAATCAAAATCCATGTATTTTGGTGTCCTTTTAATGAGAAAGTATAGATAATATCAGTTTAAGGAAAATCTCTGAGGAGGCTCAGCCTCCGTTGCCTCCTCTGAGGAGCCGTCACTGGAAACTTTGGCAAAATATGGCCGATTTGTCTATACTCCAATGAACTCAGTATAAACACCTGGAATGGATGCTCTGTGAACGACGAGTGAGGCAAAAATATTGTTCAGGCAACCCGCAGTGTTTACGGATACTTATATCTCTCTATCTTATGTTGGTTGGCTTATGGGAAGCGCTCGCATTATTTGAAATATTTTCTTGTTTTTTGCTTTTATTTAAGAGTAAACGTGATTAAATAAAAATATTCATATAGGAAAAAGGATAATGTTGCAATCAGTTACTATTTAAAAATTATTATGTAACTTTTGCAAAATTCAAAATCAGAGAGAATGCACCAAATTTTTGAGCACTGCAGCTTTTCTATAGCATTTCAATACCCAATAATTTGAAGACTATCTTGAAGATTGACTGTTTCAAAAGCCTACTCAATGAATTCTTGACATCATCATACTTCCCTTAAATATTATTCAACTTAAGGATGCAATAATATTTTACTGTTTTGTTCTCTTGGCTATTCCTATATGGTTTTTGTAACTATCAAAAGGAAAATCAATTTCATTATTATTATTATAGTCATTGATACCATGACAACTGTTTGAAAGTTATATATGAAATTAATTTTTTGTATTCCAACATTCAAGGTCAATAACTCCGTAACGAAGCGCGATAGACATTTTTTTATATGAAGTACTAACATTATTTCGGCTCATTTTATCATCCCTACCATTTACGACATGACCTTTCCGAACACCTTGTATTCTGTATTACCGATCTCAACCCTTCGCTACTCAACAAAATAGTATATTGTGCAACATGTGGGGAAAGTTCACCTTTTCTCACTAGTGTGGAATTTTGTGGCACGAGCCTGAAGGGCGAGTTATGCAAACACACGAGTGAGAAAAGTACTTTTCCCCACATGTTGCACACTATACTTTTTCTACAACTGCACTTACCTATTCAAAGAATACGAGTAATGTAACTTATTGGTATTCATTTCAGAATGTGGCACTATGCCACATTGAATATTGTGACCAAAGAGTAGACGCCTTCCCTAGTTCCTCAAAGTATTTCAAAAAAGTACACTTTTCGAAAAAGATTTTATTTCTGTATTTTTTTTAGATTCCATAATTTTTTCATATACGCCAATCCATGCTTTCTTCTTGAAATTTCCGGAAACAAATTCAACTTTCGCAGCTTATTCCATTACCTATGTCTGGCGGTGTATTTATCCAAATCGTCACATCTCGGTATATACATCATATTATTTATTATGAATTGTTGGATTAATATTTGATGGAAACTGCGATTTCCAATTAAGTTTTGGACGATTTTTGTTGATTCTCCAAGGAAATGTATGTGGTGTTGGCAAAGTGCCGTGAGAAAAAATATTTCTCACAGTATGAGCAATACATGGTTTTGAAACTAAGTAAGCTATGAGATATGCGCTACTTTTCATAGCAGTAGTAGATAAAGTAGTTCACCTTGTCACTCAAAAAGAAAAAAGGATGGTTCATCTTGTTAGTGTAAATGATCAAGTGTTGTATGATGATTTTCTTCTTCATAGATTTTTTTGCATGAGTTAGCCGGGAGATTTGAGGATATATTGGGGCTTGACTGTATATTTTCATTTTCAGCAGTATATGTTGGTAGTATTGGGGACACTTGGGGGTAGACCGTTTTCACTTAGAACGATCATTTAGTCCGGAATTGTTCTGTTTATTTTCCATCGATTTCGTACTGGCAAGTTTAATTAATGTACGGGGTGTCCCAAATTCGAGGGGTATCATTGTGATCTCGGTTACCTCAGCAGATACAAAGTCGGTTAATTTAGGTCAAAGTTGATCATTTTGACGCTGATCAAAATTCCGCTTCAAAAGTTTATGAATATACAGGGTGTTTCATGAGAAGACTCACATCACATAGCCACATGGTTAATAGGGGAAATCAAGACGAGTTGATAGATAGATAGATCTTTATTGAAATAGGAAACCCTAATATACAACGAATAGCATTCACATAAATAACAGTAATGATAATAATACATAATAAATAATATTAATTAATAACAATACACATTATTATTAAAATGATTATATAATAATAAAATAATAAAAACATCAGGTACTGATAGTGATAACAATAATAATACCAAAACTAATAAAGGAGAGTATGAGTTGAATATATACGTAGCTATAGAAAATTACATTGACAAATATTTTTTGAGGTTGTTTTTGAAACTAATCAAAGAAGTACTATACTTTACTTGTTCAGGTAGTTTGTTAAATTCGTGAAAACCTTTGAAGAATAATGAATTCATTGTCTTTTTATAATTTGTTCTGGGAATATGAATATTGTTGCAGTTTCTTGTTACGTGATTATGAACATCTCTGTTGAAAATTAAATATGCATTAAAATAAGTTGGAGCCATATTGTTCAGTATCTTGAAAACAAAAATCATAGTGAAATAATATACCCTTTGTTTAACTGAATACCATTGTAGTGTATTTTGCATCAGTACAATAGGAGTATCACGACTTGTATTCAGTATTACCCTCATACCACGATTTTGCAATTTTTGAAGTTGGTTTATTTTGTTCAAATCTAATGTAAACAACACCGACGCGCAGTAATCGAAATGGGGTTGAATTATTGCATTGTATATGGTGATTTTGGTATCAACTGTTAAATTCTTAGCAATTCTGCTGAAAAAATAAAGTTTCTTCGATATTTTTTTATGGATATATTCGAAGTGACTTTCAAATGATAATACATTATCTAGGTGAAATCCCAAATATTTGACAGTTTGAACTATTTCAATTTTCTCATCATTTATCATCAAACTGATATCATCAAAGTTGATGCAGTTATATTTATATTTTGTCGTTATGATCATTCCTTTTGTTTTTGAAACGTTCAATTTAAGTTTATTTATGTTCAAGTACTTGTAAACATCTATCAAGACTGAGTTCATCTTTTGAATGGCTACTTTCAAACTAGAATCACTACATACTATCAAAGTGTCGTCAGCAAAGAGGTTTATAAACTCACAATTCACAAATAGTTCGATGTCGTTTAAATATAAAATGAAGAGTAAAGGCCCTAATACGCTGCCTTGAGGGATTCCTACATTATTAGTAATTTCTGATGATGAAACGTTGTTGTACCTTACTTTTTGTTTACGATCATTTAAGTAGTTTTTGAGCCAGTCATATACTTTTCCACTGATACCATATTGGGATAATTTTGACATCAAAATGTTTCGATCTATGGTCTCAAAAGCTCGTTTCAAATCTAAAAAAACACTGACAACATATTTGTTACTATCTAAGTCGCTTTTGAATTTACACAGTGATAGTTGTAGTGATGTTTCGCAAGAATATTTTTTTCGGAAACCTGATTGATTATTTATTAAAATATGATTGCACGAAATATGTTCCAATAGCTGATCATAAACGGCAATTTCCAGAATTTTTTCAATGGGGGGTAGTGTATTTATAGGTCTGAATTCACATGCTTTTATTGTACCTGTAATTTTCTGAATAGGAATGATGGTACTAACTTTCGAGGAAGTCGGGATTTCACCAGTCTCAAGAGACGTATTGATTAAGTTCAATATTACATGGCCAATGGTTTGGAAAATTTCTTTCAACATTTTGGCATTTAGAATTTCACTCAATGAAAGCTTAGAATCAAGAGAATGAACAATTTGTTGCAAATCTTTCAATGATAATGTCTTGAAGCTAGTCATTTCATGATACATGTTATTATTCACATTACACCATACTTCAGAATCGTCTATACT